CTACAGTCACCCCCAGAATCACCGCAACAAACGCCAAACATCAGTAGCATAGATTCTACATCACGTCCTCACGTCCAGCATCAGACTCTTATATTGCAACTTTAAAAATTTTAACGTGATGTGCAATAAAAATTCCATAAATACCAAAAATCTAAACACACCCAGCTCATGGGATTACAAAAAAAATTAGATCAAGTTGCCCGCGAAAGGAACTTATTCAGAGAGATAGATAAAGTTACCAATCAAAGAAAAGAAAAACAGCCAATTAGTACAATACAGCGCGAAAATGTTGCAGAAGACTCCAATGGAGATGAATGAGTTGACATAGAGGATACGACTCCGGAATTTGAAGAATACCCACACGAATGTCAATACAATGTACCTGAAAATGTTAAGACACCAGATGAGATATTTAGACTGTTTCTAACAGATGAGATGGTTGACAAGATGGTCCTTGAGACTAATTTGTACGCGGAAAAATTTCTTACTAATCCAGGCTTAAAGAAAAAATCTCGGTTCCGTTATTGGAAACCAATTAACCGAGAAGAGTTGCTGAAGTTTCTAGGTGTTGCCTTAGTTATGGGGTTAAATAAAGTTCCTCACATCAATGATTACTGGTCCCAAAATATTATGTATCGAAATGATTATATCATAAAAGTTATGAGTAGAGATCGATTCACTGCAATTTTAAAATTTTGGCATTTTAGTGATGACACTATTGACAGGCCAACTGATAAACTAAATAAAATACGTGATGTATATGAAATGCTTCTTGCTATCTTCAAGAAAGTTATTGTTCCGGGTAAAATCCTAGTGATTGATGAGACCATGGTGCCATGGCGCGGAAGAATACAATTCCGGCAATATATAAAGAATAAAACACATAAATACGGAGTAAAGCTTTACAAATTATGTACTGATGACGGATTTACTTGCAATATGATGGTGTATACAGGAAAAGGACAGGATGGACGGGAAAAGAACCATGGAATGAAAACTGTTTTGAAATTGTTACAAAATTTGGACAACAACGGTAGGATTATTATAACAGACAACTTTTACAATAGCGTAGAACTTGCTGAAGAACTATTAAAGAGAAAAACTTTTTTGTGTGGAACTCTCAGAGCAAACAGAAGAGGTTTACCAAAATCTATTGTGGCAAAAAAGATAAAAAAGGGTGAAGTGATTGGAAAGATGAGAAGAACAGGTGTAAAAGTTATAAAGTGGGTGGACAAAAGGGCAGTCTTAATGATTACTTCATGCAAAAATCATGATGCAAAACTTATAACGAAAACAAAATCTAGGAGAGGGAGGGAGGAACATATAAGGAAGCCAGAATGCATATTTTTTTACAATGATGGCAAAAAGGGAATTGATTATAGCGACCAAATGTCGTCTTATTACAGCCCCTTGAAGAGGGGAAAGAAGTGGTTTCAAAAATTGATGATGGAACTAATTTTTGGAACAGCTATAGTAAATGCATGGGTGGTATATAATAATAAAAAAAAAAGAAGTTACCAAAGAAGAATTTTATAGAAAGCATCATAACGAAATTCACAGGGGTTCCTTTTTTCCTGGAAAAAGATAATCCGGAAGTGACCACTGAACACAAATATATAGTGAATACCAAAAAGAGACGTTGTGTGAGTTGCTACGAAAAGGCACGAAAAACAATGACTAGCAAGGAAGCGGATAAAAAGACAAAACAGGTAAAAGGTTTCTGTGTGAAGTGTGAAAAAACTATGTTTTAATGAAAAACATTGACATTTTTTGCACTGAATAGTTTATAAGTTTCTAATGCCTTATTATATATAATAATATATAATATTATATATAATAATGATTAATATCGATAATGTTGTTGGTCTTATTGTTTCTCATCACTATTTTTTTTATCGATACTATGCAATATCTGCAAAACGAGATCTAAAAGTACTCGCATTTTCTTGCTATCTAGTGCAGAACGAGATCCAAAAGTTCTCGTTTTTCTATTTTGTAAATTTTCCATTATTTTTTTCGACATAACTTGAGACGGTGAAAGCCTGCTGAAAGGTCTGATCATCTCCTACCTACACATACGAAAAAAATATAAAAATTTTCAAATTTCATAAAACTATTGGGGTTTGAAGTGACTAAGTCGTACGAGATCTGCTGGATCTCGTTGCGTTATTCCTGATGGATCACAACGAGAACTTTTAGATCTCGTTGCGTCATATTAACTAGATGCATAAATGGGCTTCCGCGATGAACGTTTTAAAAAAAACGGTAGCGATGAGGACAATGTTTTCTTTGATGCCTTATGATTTATTTTTATTATTTTTTTTTTTAAGGTGTAAATATTTTTTCTATATTTTAAGTTGTATATATTAATTATCATAAATTGTATCTTTAATTAACTGTGAATATTAAATTTACCTTAAAAAATATATGTAATAACAAAAAAAAAAACTAATTTATATAATCAAAACAATTTTTATTTCCGAAGCATTTTTTCCATTTTCTTTTGCGCTGCCGTCCTACTTTTTGCCGATGACTCACTCACAACATTTTATATCACGTTGACTTTATTAATGATAAGTAACGTTATTTATGTAATTTAAATTTAAAAAAGGGGTAATTTGAATAACATGGTAACGCTGACCCACCACATGTTTAAAAAACTATATTCACTTTGTTGTTCGCAGCGGTCTGTCTTAACTTTTTATTTGGTCTGAGTATATAACAAATGGTTATTTTGAGAATCCACCTACGCCTGAGAGTGGAATTGCCAATGATGATTTAAGTGAAAATGATCACCAATCGGAACCTTCGACATCCTCCATTGCCAACTGTACCGCGGCGCCGAAAGAATCCGGTGAAACTGCAAGAAGCTGACAGGACTACGAAGGAAGCCATGAGTTCACTGCATAAAGTTTTTAATAAATCACAAGTGGTAGAACTAAGACGATTTCGATTGGTATGGCAAGATTCTTACCAATAAGCTTCGTGAACTATCTGAATCAGAAACCTTAAAAATCAGTATGTACCAATGAATAGTCGATACAATTTATTTGTTTACTCGTTCTGGATGAAAAAAAAATTTGTGAGTGTGGGTGAAAACTATGGGACTTCATAAGCACTATTTCTTTGTTATCCGACTCGTTCAAGAAGTCGACAAAACGTAGCGATTTTTAATTGAAAACAAGTCAACTTACCTAAGTTGACCAAATTTCAAATAAAATATTCGCCTTTTTGTTTTGATTATGTTTCCGAGTGCAAGTGAGTAAATTACAATTATAATTGTAATTAATTATAATTTAAATGAACTGTTAATTTACGGAAAAATATGTAAAATTATAGCTGTGAGCTCTGTGCTGGTGATTTGTGTTGTTCGATAAATTCAAATTGAGTGCGTCAACCTTGTTGTCGTTTGAAGAAGAAACGAAAATATTTCCAAAGGCAAGTATTATATATTAAGGCGTATGTCGTATGTCCGGGCTGGGTGTAATTCATGAAAAGGTAATATTATTCTTTCTTTAAATAAATATAATGGCGGTTGTACACACTCGTCGAGATACTCCGAGACAGGCCGAGCGCGCGTGTGTACAGGACGCTCTCGTCTCGTCTCGCTCTCTCGTTCTCGTCTCGTTCGCTCTCGGTGCCTTGTCGGTTTTTTGCGACCGAGTCAAAGGGTCTCGTTGGCTCTCGCGAGGTAAACGAGAGCGAGCATGTACACACTCGTTCATTTAGTTGCTCGCTGACTGTATTTATAAACGCACGTGTTTCACTATGTGGTCTAATGAACGAGAATTACAGTTTTTAGAGTGGTATCAAACAGAACCTGTGTTATGGAACTCGAAGGATGTGAATCATAAAGATAAACAATGTATCCATGACGCTTGGGTGCGAATAAGCGAGCACATGAAAATCCCGGTCGCAGAGTTGAAAAAGAAGCGGGACTCACTTATGGCTACCTATCGTAGTCATAAAAGAAGGGTTATTGCCTCCATCCAGTCTGGAGCTGCAGCCGAATCAGTATATAAACCAA